TGTTCAATTGATACTTGTTGATAATTTTTTTTGAAATGACTATTTTGTGAAAGTGAACTTTAAGTATGATTGATTGATTGTACAGTTTGAAGGAAATGATGATTATTGTGAAGATGAAAATTTTCATTAGACTTTTATTCATTGAAAAAGAATAAATGTAAACTGTTAATTAGTTAGTTAGTTAGTCAGTTATTCAGCAATACTAGATTTACTGATATACACATTGAGAGCATTAACTAAATTTATCATTTACATTATATTAACTAACCACGTTTACTTAAATATTGTATTTGTAAATCTCTTCTTATTGAACATTTTATCATCTTAAATTTATGAATAACAAAATACATTGCTATAAATTCATTCAAACAATTAGAGGTGGGAAGTAAAGTTTCACACATGGTGAATTTTCAAAGTTAATTAGTTTTCACTTATATCAATTAACTAAAGACGTTTTATATCTGTCGACAATAAACTTATCACCATAGACAACTTGGACTAGTTTTCTTCAGATAACATTGCACAATCTTTCAGTTTACATGCAATTTCTATTAATCTTATCCAGTTACGATAATCTACATAACTGTGAAAATTAAGCCCAGTCTTTACGTGATCAAGGAGGAGATTGTTTCAAATTTTCGTTTCAATGTTTATGAACAATCAGTAATTATTTTTTGTGCAGTTCGAACAGGACTGGTGTAGCAACTTTTCTTAAATTATAATTTAATATTACACGATAATGGAACAATCCAGGAGAATATTTTTGTTAAAATATAATTCAAATGTAAACATGCAAATTTCGACGTTTAATGAAAACCGTTTACGTTAGGTTGGATTTAATTAAACATATTATAATGGTGCTCTATTTACAGCCAATTAACAAGTGCTTAAAAGCAACTTGTTTGTTCCTAAACACATATTTATGAATATAAGTCAGCAAATCACTTATTTTTAAAATATTTCCAATGAAACCCTAAAATTTTTATCAACAGGAGTCAGCACTCTCAAGCACCAGTAGATTGTTAACCCCACTTCTTTGTTTTGAAAGATGCTTTGATGATCCTGGGTCCATGGAAATTCCATCCTATCAGTGCTTTTTATGGGTCGAGAATAAAATGACTGTCATTTAGTGTCATGCACCCATCAACGACATCAATGAAGATTAGTTTGTGAAAGGCTGAAGTCATTCGCACAGAAATAGGAAACTTAAACACTACGGTTGAAATGGACAACATCGGATGCGAAAACGTCGTGGACTGGGAGAAGGGAAAGAAAACGGGGAGAGATTTGCAAATCTATGTGCTTTCAACAAAATGGTTATAGTTAGCACCATAATCCCCCACAAACGCATAGATAAAGCAACATGGGTTTCACCAGATCACACTACCGAGAACCAAAGCGACCATATCTGCATCAGTAAAAGTTTAGAAGAACCATGAGTAAGTAAGAACAAAGAAAGGAGATGACAGATTCAGATCGCTTGGTAGTGGTCAATAATGAAAGTGAAGTCTGAGTATTGGACAAATGGAAAAACAGCATTACAAAATTTGGATTCAGCCGTTCGTCGAGAGACTGAAAAACTCAACGAATTCAAGATAGCTCCCAGCAAAGAATCCCAAGCCTGGACTAAACAAGGGATAACTTCAACCTGCTTGGGGACGCTGGTGGCGCCATCATAAGGAATGAATACCTTTTAATACACCGGGCAAGATTTCAGAAAAGAAAAACAAGAAGACAGCAGTAACTGACAGCGGAAGAAGAGCAGAGAAAGCAGGATACACAGAACCAAATAAGCGATTAGAGCGGAGCATTTTAGTTGATGAACGGACATATGTGGAAGAACTAGCAACCATAACGCAAAAAGCTGCAAGAGGAAATATGAGAAAAATCATCATCACTGGGAATATTACCTCACCAATATACCAAAGAAAGGAGATTTCAGCAAGTGTGAGAACTACAAAGGCATCACATTACTATCAATATCTGTTAAAGTCTTCAATACAGTAATGTTGAACTGACTGAAAGATCCTTAGGCGCACAACCAGATCGACAGGCGGGGCTCCGTAACGACCGTTCAGGCACCGACCAAACTGTTAGACTAGCAATCCTCATTGAATAATCAATTGGATGGAAATTATCACTATACATCAAATTCGTCGACTACGAAGAGGGATTCGACAGCGTCGACAGGCGGACTTTATGGAACCTTCTTCGACACCGTGGAGTAACTAAGATTGTTGACACTGTATGCAATCTATGGAGCGGACTATACTGCAAAGTCGTGCATGAACGGAAGCTTACAGATTCATTCCAAGTGGAAACTGACATCAAACAAAACTGCCTACTTTCGACTTTTCTCTTTCCTCTGATATTTGACTGTCTTACGAAGACGTCAATGTCTCAGGGGAGGCAAGGGGTGGACAGCTAGGCGATTTGGACTTCACAGATGACCTAGCTCTTCTATCTCTCACATAACAACAAATCCAGGTAAATACAGAGATCAGCAGCTTCTGCAAAAGTAGGTCTGAATGAACACAAAGGAAAAAGCAAGATCTTTAGATACAACTCAATATGCACCAACTAAATCACACTTGACGGATAAGTTTTGGAAGATGTAGAAATATTTACATAGCTGGGAAGCATTATTGGTAAACCAGGTAGATCTAGTGCAGATATAAAGACAGGGATTGGAGAGGAGAGGGCAGCATTCCTACCAGTGAAGCACACCTGAAGCCCAAAACAGCTGTCCACTAACACCAAGGTCACAATTTTCAGTATAAACATCAAAAGAGTTCTTACACATGCAGTTGAAACTTGAAGAACTACGAAAGCCATCATCCAAAAAGTACGGGTATTTATAAATTTGTCTGGGCAAGATAATTAGGATCCGTAGGCCAAACACTATTAGCACCACCTACTGTGGCATGGGATAAATCACTTTCCTGTTGAAGAGGGAATTAGAATAAACGCTGGAGGCGGATAAGACACATACTACAGAAATCACCTCTGTCGCAAGACAAGACCTAACCTAAGATCCTCAAGGAATATATACAGCACCGGGAATAGATGGCATACAACAATGGAATAAATGACACTTGGCGATAGTTGTAAAGGATAATCCAGGACATGGTACGATGGAAATTGCTGGCTAGCAGCTCGTGCTTCACGTAAAGTAACTGGCGTAAGTAACATTTTACGAAGCTTTGAAATCCTTTAGAACCTGTGGTATCTGTATAGACAAATTAATTTTGTGTGTGGACGCTTACAGTGAGCCATTGTCCGGTTCTTTACACTCACGTTCGCCATATATGTTCACCAGGTTGTTTACGTATATTTCGAAATAGTTTCTATCCACTGAAACTCAAATGAAGTATTACTTAACCGAAAACCTACAGGAAATGACAAATCTCCCGAGATTTTAGGAATGTGCAACAAAGGTTACCTCAGATTCCAAAATTTTCCACGTGAATGTGTTTGGACACTTTTTTAAACCCAAAATTATCCAAAATTTATGCGGTAAATTCTAAAGCACAAACTACTTTGGGTTTAGTTGGTTATTTTCCAGCGTAATTCAAATATATGCAAAATTATTTGGATCTACGACAGGTGATTTTCTGCGTGTATTTGATATTAATACGTTCAGAATGTTACTGTACAAATAAAAATCGAAAAAACCCTGTGACGAGGTTAGACAAGATCCCGAAAGTTCATTATTCCAAAAAATTGGTAGTGTATTAGCTCACTTAGTACATAAGGCCATAGACGATAACGAACGTATGAGGCCACCTGACCAGGATATTAAATTGAGAAAACCCTTAATAAATATGCGGTATAGCCCAAGTTACAAGTTCACACACTTAAACTTTAACCATTTTAAAGGTAACTATGTTTAAGACAGGTTCACAAAAGTTGGCTGGCTTTTTAACGAACCATGAAGCAAACTGTCACTTTCAAGCAGCGTAAAGTGGTTAGTAACGGTAAGTTAGGGGAAACTGAGGGAGCAACGTCATGAGGTGCAGGCACATGATAGCCAGTGACCAACAGTAGATTTATTCGCCATTCGCTTCCAAAGCCTATGATCACTATTGGTTCACAGTCAGGGATTCCCAATTACGCTAGGCGGGTTTATTAAGGTACCCACCAACCCGGTGAAGTGCCGGACACTCGTTTCTCGTCCTCTCTAATTAGTAAGACAACACCCTCATCACGAGAAGGCAGTAAGCAGAACTTCCCTGCTAGTGGCTATATACACATGGCCATATGAACATTTTAAAAGGGAGAGAGGACTCTCCCTACTCTCGGTCATGTCAGGGCACTTGGGGGGCTTTGTGGAGAGCTTACCAAACTTCATCCCCTGGGTATATATTTACTGATTATATGAGTAAAATGGCTAGTGTTAAGAGAATCATTGTATACACCACATTGACCTTCACTGCCATATTTTGAATATACTGATAGACATTCATGTAAATTTGTAACTCTAATCTCGTAATATCTTTCCAATTCTTCTTTTTCTTCCTGTTGTGTAGTAATTTGATACATGCAATTTCGCTCACAGTTCTGTGTGTTTTCATTGTTTTGTGACCACACAATCACTGGAACGCGCACAAATCTACCGCTTAATTAGCATCCGACTAACAGCAGTTGTGGAATCAACAGACTGGCATTTTTTAAAAATAAAACGTTATTCCTTTCTTAGCTTTACTAATATTACGAATTAATTACTTGCCTGTCTGTCTGCCCATCAGAAGCACTCAGCCAGACTAACAAATCTTTTTACAAATACAAACTCAGTTACAGTTAAAACTATACGAAGAAACCCGACTACTGGACACGTTGTTACATATAACAAAGTACGTGGGGTATCAGTACCAAAGTACTCGAGGTTTCGGGCGTTTTTATCACCCCAACCCAATAGAATAAAACAAGGGACCGATGTAGTTATTTTTTTAATATTCCCAGATGAAAAGACTAGGATTAAAACCTTTTCTAAAAGACAAGCCAAAAGTAGGAAAATGACAGAAAGGTGAGAATATTGTGGAGGAACTAAAGTAAAGATATATTAGGCATCTTAACGACGCTGCCAAATTTTAAGAACTCGGTCCTAGTAAATAATCAGTAAAATAGAAAGCATGGTTGTCGATGACCTCGGGAGCGACACTCGATATCGCGTGGTTTATTATGCCAAACTAGAAACAAAATCGGTAAAGTATTTTGATGAAGACCAATAACTACGTGGATGTAGTAACTACTGTAGTTCATACTGATAATTTAGAAGTGATCTTTCTTGTTAAGTAAGTGCGTGTAAACTTGTTCCCATACTCATCTTTAGAAGCTCAAACCTAACACAATAACATAACTCATTTGAAATACTCGAAATATGTTACAAAAAGCGTGTTTCATGACACAGTTCCAGAGAGAAACGTTCATAAATGCATAACAGGAACAAACAGACTACCAACACTGTACCCAAATATTTAATGTATTATACTGAGTTAGAAGATGGCCTATCTACTGTTGGATTAATAATCCCGACGTGACAAATGAAAACAAACATTCATGCATCAAAGTGAATGTAGGTACTTACGTACCGAATAATATAAACATCTATAAAAGTAGCGTATATACATAAGCATTTTGCAGAAATGTTTTTGTAACATATTATTAAATTAATCCTATTTTAAAAGAACTTAACGCGCAGTTTGTTTGCTAAGGTTAACAGCTACGCTTGCAAAGGAACTTGGCCAGATTCAGTCTTGTTGGCAACAGTTGACGTAGGTTGTTGTATATCAGTGCGCGGCCGTCGAAACAGAATGATGTGTGGTTCTGGTTCATGGATCATATAATGCACCCAACCAGCTGACTGCTGAATCCCCAACTTTCGCCATTCCATTTCAGACATAAGGTGGTTTTTAGGTATTTGTTTAGCTAAATCTTTCGGTAAGTGGACATGCCTAAAATGTTAGTTTAATTTACCTGATCAATTTAGGCTTACCTGTACTCATAAATATCGTCGTAGTACTTTTCGGAATAATATATGTTTCTATTCATCCTACTTAGGTAGAAAGGCGCGTCTTATCTCCCTCAAGTTTCAAGCAATAGTCCAATGTCCAATATCTTTCAGATGGACAAGTTTAAACAGGTTGATTTATTAGCACTTACTTCTTCTTATTGCATAACGGTTTCAAGTATTCGACCGCTCTAATTCAAATCACTTGGCATTTATTTATAATTTGAATGTATCGTGATTTGCGCTAGCGAGTTCGTCGATAGTATTTGTAGTGAAGCGACTTGTCTGTAACAGGCTGGATCCTACCTGCTTGATCGCTTAAAGATTGTAGTGAGAGTAGCTTGCTTCCATTCAGCTGGGAAATGGTTTGACTCCGATGAATGCATGAACAGGTCATGGAACAGTGAATTGAGTGATTCTGTACATTGTCTCAGGACCACAGGATGAATATTGTCACATCCTAGTGACTTTCCAAGGCACTGAGATTTGGGTTTTCTTAGTACCGAGCCAGGAATAGGTCAGAAATTATCCAGGCTATCTGTTGGCACTAGGTTTGGGTAGTACTCAGAACCTGTAGGTACCTGGTTTAAATGGTCGGTGATTTCGGCATGAAAGATCTCAGACATCTGTAACTTGGTAAAATCTTCTCCATTCCGACCCTAGAGAGCACCAACAACCTGATTTGTAGGTCTCCACTTAGTCACGAACTTAGACAGATATTGTGAGTTTGTCCGTATCTTTGTTGCTAGCTTCGTCTGGAAGTGTCTCTGTGGTGTTTGAATGAACTAGTGACTTCTTGGTTGTTGTTGAATGCTTGATTTCGAATTCTAAATACAGTACATTCGTTCGTGCTTATCTCGTAGTTCTTGATTCACATACTTCTAATTATCATATTGGCGTCGCGATGGATCTTGTAATGGAACAGTTATATATTCATTCTACTTCTGAAGCTTTTGAAGATTATTTGGAAAGGTTTGAAATCTGGAGTATGACCAAGAAAGATGTCAAAGATGATGAAATTGTGTCCCATTTCCTGACATTCATCGGAAAAGAAGCGTACAGCTTATTAAAAACTTTGGCATATCCAGAAAAACCTATTTAACTTCCCTATGCAATACTTAAGGAGTTATTATTAAATCATGTAAAGTGCCCTGGTTTTGAATGTCGTGAAAAGGCGAAATTTCATAAGATGATTCGTCAAAATGACCAAAATGTTAAGGAATTCATTCTTGAATTGCAGAAACAGGCTGTCAAATGTAATTTCGGTGATCAACTTCATGTGCAGCTGAGAGACCGATTAATTGCAGGAATTAACATACCTAGTTTGGAAAGAGATCTGTTAAGAATGTCCAACTGTTCCTTTCAAGATGTTGGAACTGTATGCATTATCTACGAGGCGTTGAATGAACTTGATATTCAGTCGATGAAGATTTCCAATAATTTGATTAATTGTCATGATAAAGTACAATCTCAGGGTCAATCAAAATTGTGTTCGTTTAACAGTGGTTCCTATTCTCATGTAAATATGAACGGTGTTTCATTAAAGAATTACAGAGGAAATCACAAAGGTGAGACCAAGCTTGGCAAATGTTTATCATACGGAAAACTTCATTCTCGTTATTATTGTACATTTCGTAATGCTAAATGTTTTAGAAGTGGTAAGATAGGACACATTCAAGCAGTATGCAAAGCCACTGTTCATTTTGCCTCAAGTAGTACTAAATCTCGTAATTTAGATCCCAATAACTCAGCTGATCCTAATGATCATTTATCTTTGTTTACCATTTCGAAAGGTACTGCTCTTATTGAAAAGCGATTATATACATCACTTGGTTCATGTCATGACTTTATTGTGGACACAGGCAGTATAGAGTCCATTATTTCATTCAAGAACTTGAAATCGTTAGATCCGAACGTTGTGATACGACCCACTGATGTATCAATATTGGGGATTACTGGACACAGACTGCCTATACGAAGATGTCGTGAATTGCTAATAAGAGATGATAATTCCTCATACATACCATGTGAATTTTTAGTTAGTGAAACAGGACTGTCGATACTGGGTTTAAAGAATTTGAAAAGACTTAAAGTGGAGTTGTCTTTCCTAGTTTCTAAAGAAAATTCTGTTGCTTTACTTAAAGATTTGATAGCCACGTGTGCTAAGTGCAGTGGAGGTATGAAAATCCAGCCTATAAAACTTCAAGTACAGGCTGATCCAGTCTTTCTCAAAAGACGAATAATTCCTTATGGTCTTCGAGATGCAGTGCATAAGACATTGAATGATTTGGTTACAAAAGGCATAATTGAACCGGTTCAGTCTTCTGCATGGGGTACTCCTATTGTTACGCCACTGAAATCGGATGGCAAGACTCCTAGAATATGTGATGACTATAGAGTAACATTGAACTCTCGTTTGTTGAAGCAAACATGTACGACGGTAGATGCTGAAGATATCCTAAATCGACTTCATGGTTCTAAAGTATTCTCGAAAGTTGACCTAAACGATGCTTATCTTTAAATCCCTTTAGATCAATCCTCATCTATTTTGACGACAATTAATACTCCTTTTGGTCTGTTTAAATATAAGGCTCATGTGTTGGTGGCCAGAGATAAATGCAGATATTTGTCGTACAGCAAACAATTGCCAAAAATGTCATAAGCTGAAAAGTCAGCATTCGGAGTGGACTCCGTGGTCATTATCGTCGGAGGCCTGGCAGAGAATTCATGCAGACTATTGTGGTCCGTTTCTTGGCAAATACTATGCGTTTGTAGTCATTGATTCTTTTTCAAAGTGGCCCGAAATTTTTTTCACAACTTCACCAAATTCTGACTTCACAATTCAAGCATTAAGAAAGGTTTTTAGTCGAGAAGGGGTTCCAATGGTGTTAGTGACTGATAACGGCTCTCATTTTGCTGCAAATGCAGTCACTACCTCGTTAAATGGTATAGGGTGCAAACATCTGTTTACTGCTCCCAGACATCCTTGTTCCAATGGTCAGGCAGTAAATTTTGTCAGGACGTTGAAAACTGCTATTGATTCTATTGCCGCCTCAACATTTAATGATCTGAAGAGGTGTGTAGATACCTTTCTACTGCAATATATAAATGCCAGACATTCGGTGACGAAAGAGACTCCATCGAAGCTATTAAAAGGAAGAATTCTTCGGTCGAATATGAGATGCTTGGAGCCTGCAGAAGTTACATATTATCGTGGCAATGATCTTCGACCATCCACGGGGATTGTTCTGAAGAATGTCGGGAAATCTATGGTGCGACTTCTAGATATCAATGACTTAAGTACACACAATCGACATGTTGATCAAATACAATTCCACGAACCAGGTGAGTCTGTTCCAATTTCGGTTGTTAATTCTAATACTAATGAGAGCATTCTAGATAATACAGAGCCTTTATCCAATACACTGTCGGACAGACACAGGATGAATTTGAGAAGAAGACGTACAATTGATTACAGACACTTAGATTCCAATATAAGCTGTGGCGGATGTGGTGTTTGAATTAACTAGTGACTTCTTGGTTGTTGTTAAATGCTTGATCTCGAATTCCAAATACAGTACATTCGTTCGTGCTTATCTCGTAGTTCTTGATTCACATACTTCTAATTATCATAGTCTCCTATCGCTTCCAACTTCTGTATTGCATCTTAAAGACAAGCAAGAACTACGGTCAGAATCCTTCAGAGAGATTTTTCACTTCGTGTACATTGCCACACCATTTCTCATTTTCTGAACCTTATCTCATTGGAACAGAGTTATGCCGTGCAAGCTCATTTCGTTGTCTGCACTCTTGAGAGACAGATACGTTTCAGTTAGAATTTTGATCTTCAGATCTATCTGAGAGCACGTGCTTCTGATCTCTCCCAATCTAGTCCTCAGTCCTCTTAAGTTTCTACGGAGGCACTTGATGGTTTGTCCGATCACCTGATGCGCTACTGTAGTGACATTTGTCAACGGATTTGTAAGCAAGTTGATTGAAGTGAGTTGACCAGCTCTGTGGAAACTGGTCGCTGCAGGTTCAACTGGCGAGACCGAGAATTTCACATCCTGTACCTTGGGTTTTCGATCGAGTTTGACACACATCACTTTGAGTCTGGTTTATGTTCCTGTTGTTATCTCATCGATCTAGGTCAGCTACCACAACATCCAATGTGACTAGAGAGATCGTTCTTCGTACTGTACCAAGCCTGAAGTACCTCCACTGGGTTTTTCTCAGTTTCTGAATTTCACTGCCATCAGACACGGAGGCTTACTAGTCACGAGATGTAACGGATAAGGTAGTTGGGAACCGCGGATTGCCATGGGGTGTGAAGGTCTGTGCTACCGACATTGTTGCACATCGTGTGGGTCATCTCCACCGAACCTATTACCAACCAGCTCAAACACCCCCTGGACCATCACAATAGTTCTGCTATAAACCGGTATATTCGACTCATTATTGACTCCGTAATTCAGACCTCTACTGGTTTTCCTAGTTGTTTCAGTGTAAGAACTGGTGGCGGCGTTATCACTGTACATGCTACTCAATAGACTGAAATGTAGACTGTAAGATAATTTAAGAGGAAATACGCGAAATATAAGTTTTAAGGGAGGAAAGTAATAATATTAAAATAGGTGAATATATATAGAGAACCTGAAAAATACTCAAAATCTGAACACTGTCTTTCACCATCCTAGCAAGCTGCTTCGCGTGGTTCCAATAACTTTTACACAGGTCATTCACCTACAAGTAAACGAATGTGTGTAAACTGCCATTAAAGCAACTGGGAAGGAGCATTTGATCGATACTTACTTACTTACTCACTTACGCCTGAAACCCCCAATGGAGCATAGGCCACCCACCAGTTTTCTCCAACCAACTCTGTCCTGGGTTTCCCGTTCTAGTTCTTACCAGTTTTCGCTCATTATTCTCATGTCTTTCTTTATTTCTCGGCGTAATGTGTGCCTTGGCCTTCCTCTTTTCCTTTGACATTTAGGGCTTCATGTGAGGGCTTGTCTCGTGACGCTGGCGGATGCAGCCTTTGCTTTGCCGATCCGTGCGCTCATATCTGCATCGGATCCACCTTTCTCGTCGATGATGCTGTCCAGATATGTAAAGGTAAGCGTCCTCCAAGGCATCTCCATCAAGAGTGATTTGGTGAATTTTGTGTTGCATCGGAGAATTTTGCTTTATCCTTTATATATGTTGAAACCTACATCTGCAGAGGCTGCTGCTACACTGGGC